ATGATGATGATGATGATGACCTTGGGAGATGAGCTGAAAGCCTCTAAGAACATTTCATCTGGGCCCTATCAAATCAGTGTTCAGTGCAGTGTGGTTCGTGTCGCAGCAGCTATGTCAGTGGCATTGTAAGATTAAGATGGTGCAGGAAAAACATGGGAAACAGGTTAATGATCAAGGGCAAGAGAATAACTGCAACACCCGCTTGTTGGTGAGCATTTCCAACCACTTATTTTGTCACAGGGCGTGTTTCAGAACAGCCAAAGCCCCTTTATATATTTTTTAAACTTCGCCTCCAGGTCATGCGTTGTCCACCTCATCGAGCGGGGCACGGCGGGACAATCGGTCGCTTGATGCATGGAATACATGGTCTAGCCGAAGTAGTGTAGCTCAATCAAATCGGCGATTGGAAAAATATTCGGTTTGTCGGCCAAAACCATTAACCGCACCTTAACACTGCTAATTTGATGTTCCCGTGATACATGTGCACTGCTACAAAGGCAAAAGTGGTTAAAACAAACAATCTTCTGTTATCAACGTATAGTAGTCAGAATTCACAGTCATAAAATCAAAGCCGGATGCAATGTCGTTTTGGAGACACTGAACTTCACCGACAGGCCAATGTCACATCGACACCACAGATGCCTACTTTTATGGAGAGTAGAACAGGCTTTGGCGATTCCAGCACTCACTTTGTTGGCATTGCAACCGTCCGACCTGATAAAGCTATCCATATAAGTAAATCTTGTTCTAATGTCATGGTCAGCTCTAGCTGTCGACTCGCCCAATCTTGCAATAGCACTTTGTATTCTGAAGGCGAAATAGTGCAATGCCAGCCGCGTACACCAAGTCTTTAAGGTCTTCCTTGGTAGCAACCCCTTACCAAAGGTAGAAGATACAGTGATTTTTCCTTCGGTTGCTAATTCGCTAGCGAATTTTAGAGAGGTAAGGTGAAAAATGGCGACCTGGCGGATACCACTTTTGGTGATGAACTCAGGAGGATACTCTCCTGAGTATCCAAGGATGTTGGGTTATAAGGATTGGAGGAGTGTGACGAAAATATTCTATATGACTTCGAGGGAAACTCGACGCGATGCAGCGCGATCGACTGAGTCGACCACCGCTTTTGGATTAAAGAAGACAACGATTGCCGGCTGGCCTCCGGACAGTACGTGTGGCTATGTTTGAGGATTTTCAAATGTGGTTAATACAACCCCGGCCAGAGTGAAAACCAGCTCGATTTTTGCGGATGGATCAATCTGCGTAGGACAGCACGAAAAAGCACATTGGAACCTACGATCATTATGTTAATGACCCGGTGGTTTCCAGTCGTTCGGCATGCCTTCTGCCAAACAACGCTACCAATGAAGCTAAAGTGCATTATACCCGGCGATTCATGCTGGTTCCCCTGGCATCCAGCTTCTCAAGTTACGTTTTATTGGGGCGAGGTCAATTCTACAGAGTGTTAATAAGCAGCTGATGGTTCCCGTCATCCAAATCGCATTCGGCTGTCGTCCGAAGCGCTAAAGGCCAAGTTGAAACTGGTCATGGAACTGACAAGAATACGATTTGTTCTGCACCAATAATACACCAGACGGTATCCACATCATCGATGAGACGTTGCAGTAATCAGCCAGATTTTCCAGTGAAAAACTGATGATCTGCATCTTGAGTGTGGTATTCATACTCACTGCTTACTCACCTACGAGCAGATATGGCTTTTAAAGTTGTGACCATGAATTTATTTTCTAGTATTTTTCTCAAATACAGAGGTTGTGAAACGTCAGAGCACTACTCTGATTCAATGAGAGGTGCTGAGCCTTACGGTATGAGACGTAATGTGGTCAGATGACTTTACTCAATTCCAATTCCATAGACCGGATCAAATAAATTATTCGTACGGAAGAAGCAAATCAATTGCTTGATCCGGAATTCTGGAGCTTTGAGCTCGGGATAAAGATGGATAGGGACGGCAGGGCTGGATGCTTTGTGTTTAAGGTGCGGGTCAGGGGGTTTGTGGTTCGAACCCAACTGCGGCCTGTCGACCGCTCCTATCTGGGCTTGGGTAGCCTGGTAGAATATCAGCACTTGTGCTTCCTTCAGCGGCTTGGCGCTGGTATGTACTGGCAGGCGCTGGGTGTTGCTGTTGATGGCTAACCCCTCAAAGCTGTTCACATGCCCATGTGGTAAAGTGAATGAGATGTTCCTTTGCAGCGTCGAAGTTTCTAGGCTGGACTGCACAGGTTTTCCAGCGAGTAGAAACGGATCTGGTTGATCTCGAAGTTAGTTCCCGTGAGCAGGGAATCTCCTTTCACGGTCAAGCAATGTGGTTAATGCAGTGGACATCAAAACATACTTATCTGCAACGTATACAGTACATCCTTTCAGCGGTGACATCCTTTCGGTGCTTAGCTGTTATGCCACCCAACGGGAGCACGAGGGCTGAGGTACCCTCATTTTGCCCAAACCTAGGTGGGGGCAGCCGAGGTGCAGATGTCGGGTTCGAGTCGCAATCCTTCTGGTTCGCGCCTTGGCCACTGAAGAAATTTAAAAAAGAAAGAAATCGTTCAGCTGTAGCACCCTTTTAGTGCCTAACTGCCATGCCACCCGAAGGCTGCACGAGGGCTGGGATACTGCCAGGTTGCCCAAGCCTAGACAGGGGAGTCGAGAGGCAGAGGTCGGGTTGGAACCACGAACCTTCCGGTCAGTAAATTCACGCTCTAAACACTTGGGCGATCTCGCCCCCGCCTTGGCCACTGAACTATCTTGAGCTCAAATTTCCAGTGTCTAAAATTTACTTAAAGCAACAGTTAGTCGGTAACATAAATGTTTACGTACAAGCGACTCCTGTCATGCTATGCTGAACTATAATCAGACCATACGCCAAAATTTATGATATTTAGCAAGACGAAGTACGCTGCATTTGGAACATGCGGCGGCTTCTTATATGGGGTGAAATTGTGAATTTAGGTGCCAGGCTTGACTTTGCGCTTCCGGTCCTCGCAAGTTATCCCTGTCGGCGTTCATATAAAGCAACATCGCATTTAGTGATCTTTTTTGAGCATTTTTGTGCTGCCGATGATGGTTATTTGAAGCCGGGCACAACGGACTGCGTGCCAGTGATGGATGCGTAAGATTAGATGCGAGGGATATTTAGCTGCCTCAACAGTCGTAGTACAGGGTGATACCGTCACTGATTTTAATTTCTAGAACGGTGTACGTGTTAGTATTGTGTCCTGTAGTATCTCTCACCTCAGTATTTGTATTTTTTCTCAGTGTCACCTCAGCTTCAGCGACGCGACCGCTGATAATGGAATCGAGGAACCCCGCAAATGATTCATGTCTGTTAGATGAAATTACGCTCCTGCGTGAGACATATCCTGGGGAATTTTCGGCCAGTTCCAAGTGAGTAAGTACCCGCTTTTTATCACTCCGTAATTAGTTTAGGCACAACCACTTTGTCATTCTTGATTAGCCCCGGAGTAGGGTTCACTGTCTCGTCTAACAAGTTGATTGATTTTAAAATCAAAATTACCTGCGATCCCGAAGTAATTTTCAATGACAATTCGATCTTGATCTTCTCAGTACCCTGCCACATCCCCAAACTTGACGATATACGAAGTACATGGCCTAGCTGATCGTGATGTGAGACGACTCACAATTTTGTTGAACGAATTAATCGCAGAACGCAAGGGAGATCCGGTCCTATTCGACATAATTGATGTGAGTTTTTCGTTACGGTTCATACAGGTCTGGCGACAATTTACCACAAAACGACGAACAGTTGTGCCCTCTGAAGTACGATGCCCCTTGTGATTTTTACTTTGGTCGTTGTTACCATCGTGTGATACCCTTGCAAGCCCTTTTTATACTAGTCCTAGTGGAAATCCGCAGGTCGAACGGTGTTCTGATTGAAATTGCAGGGAGTATTCGAAACCTGTGCAGAGCATTCAGGACGGGCTAGATATTTGAAATTACCAGTTGGTTTTGCCAAGATGGACACAACAGCCAAAAGTAGTGCCAGCCATAGAAAGTGCTAACTCACGGAGACGTCTGTCGTGATGATTGTCGGAAAGATTTGGGTGATGTTCACCAGACCTTGAACTCTCGATCAGCGACGGGTAGGAAACGGGATCGATGGCTGTTTAATTCTCTGGAAATACTTCAACTGAATCGGGGGTAAACTCAACCACATTATCATCGGCTACATCAGCGATTCGAAAAGTCAGATCACTGGGAAGAATAAGAAACTTCATTGTTCATCGAGGCAGGCACTTTCAGGATCGTCTTTGGTCTCTTAATCGTTCTCGAAAAGAACGCGAGGTGAAGGCACTTGGAGTGGTCTACAGTGGTTCAAATCTGATGTTGTTACCCGGGCTGCCCGAATGCAGGAAACGCTTACTGGAGTCTAGAAGTTCATCACAAAAACGCTGACCTTACTGCGGTGTGATGGCTTGTGCGCCCCCATGACACACTGAGCTATACTGGGGAATGTCCGTGCGACACCCACAGTCTCTTACCAGACTAATCAGTGGTAATGGGGTTGACAAACAGTTTCTTGATCCTCGAATTTGAGGAATTGGATGTGTAGCGATTCTTTCTTTAAAAGATGCAGTGCACTGGCATATCTCGCCAGATACCGATATTTTACGGTCAAGCTTTCCATTCAAAGGCTGAGGGTCCCAATCGTCTTCCTTGGTGTGGGTGACCTGTCAGTGTCCTAGCCTATTTACAACAATGATTTTCACAAGGGCACTTTATCTTATGCAATATCGGCGTCGCGTATGTTAATCAAGGGCATCGCATTACTTACAGCATACCTCTTGATGGGTTGGCGAAAAAACGCAACTTCCTTTTCACATAGTCTTTCTTCACCCCCGACTTAACGACCATCTCGGATAGAGAAGAACGCCTCGACAGGTGGGCTGAACACTTCGAACAACGACTGTCGTGGCTACCAGCTGGCACTCATCTAGAGCCCACAGGTGAGGTGGAACCCTGGACGGTAAACGTGGAACCACCTACGACCTCCGAAGTTTACGACTGCATATGTTCTCTCAAGCGCCACCGAGCTCCCGGTCCGGATGACCTTCCACCCGCACTGTTCAAAGACGGGGGTGAAGTCCTCAGTCAG